CTCATGGGGGGGCTCAGGCGTGTTCCTCTGCCAGCTTCTCTGCCTTGGCCACCGCCTCCTCGATGGGCCCCACCATGTAGAAAGCCTGCTCGGGCAGGTGGTCGTATTCACCTGTGGGGACACAAGGTGTCAGGGGGGAGCGGGATGCCCAGCCGGGCTCCCCCAGACCCCCCGAGGGCCACCTCACCTGCCAGGATCTGCTTGAAGCCCTTGATGGTCTCCTTGAGCGGCACCAACTTGCCCATGTGGCCGGTGAAGACCTCGGCCACCTGGAAGGGCTGGGACAGGAAGCGCTGGATCTTGCGGGCGCGGGCCACCGTCAGTTTGTCCTCCTCGGACAACTCATCCATGCCCAGGATGGCGATGATGTCCTGCAGTGACTTGTAGTCCTGGCGAGGGGGACACAGCGGGTGAGCAGCCTGAGTGATCCCCCACCCCACGGCGAGGGGATGCCCCAGCCCCTCTCACCTGCAGGATCTTCTGCACACCCCGAGCCACGTCGTAGTGCTCGGGCCCCACGATGTTGGGGTCCATGATGCGCGAGGTGGAGTCCAGGGGGTCCACGGCCGGGTAGATGCCCAGCTCGGCGATGGCACGGGACAACACCGTGGTGGCGTCCAAGTGGGCGAAGGTGGTGGCAGGTGCAGGGTCGGTCAAGTCGTCAGCTGGCACGTAAATAGCCTGGGGACACAGGGAGGAGGGGACAGTTGGGCTCGTGAAGGTGACGCAGCCCCCCAGGACCCCGAGGCTGGTCCTGCCCTCACCTGCACGGAGGTGATGGAGCCCTTGCGCGTGGTGGTGATACGCTCCTGCATGGTGCCCATGTCAGTGGCCAGCGTGGGCTGGTAGCCCACAGCAGAGGGGATTCTGCCCAGCAGGGCTGACACCTGTGAGGGGACAGAGCGTGAGGGGCACAGCACTGGGCTGGGCACGCAGGGGACGGGGGCACTGCCCTGTGCCCTGCACACACCTCGGAGCCAGCCTGGGTGAAGCGGAAGATGTTGTCGATGAAGAGCAGCACGTCCTGACCCTCCTGGTCCCTGAAGTACTCGGCCACCGTCAGCCCCGTCAGGGCCACCCTGGCACGGGCGCCCGGGGGCTCGTTCATCTGCCCGTAGACCAGGGCGACCTGCGGGTGGGACCCTGGGGTCAGCACTGCCACGCCTGGCGCCGCGTCAGGGGGCTCAGGACCCCCCAGGAGACCCTCCCCCAGGGTCTCTGCACACCTTGGAAGTGGCATCTTTGAGGTTGATGACCCCAGACTCGATCATCTCGTGGTACAAGTCGTTGCCCTCGCGGGTTCTCTCGCCCACGCCGGCGAACACCGAGTAACCACCGTGGGCCTTGGCCACGTTGTTGATCAGCTCCATGATCAGCACGGTCTTGCCCACACCAGCACCTCCAAACAAACCTGGCAGAGGGGAAAGAAGGGTCCTGCTGAGCCCCAAGGCAGCCTGGCTGCCCCCAGGGTCTCCCTTCAGCTCTTTCCTCCTCAGACAGAAAAAGCGTTGCTTCAGCAAGCTCAGGAGAACGAAAGTCATGGAGTGGATCATCAGTGAAGGAAAGCTCGCCAGAGGAGCTGCTGGAAATCCCAGAGGCACCATCAGGTGCCCACCCCTGCTCTGGGGGTCACGTACCGATCTTGCCACCCTTGGCATAGGGAGCCAGCAGATCCACGACCTTGATCCCTGTCACCAGGATCTCCTGCTCCACACTCATCTCCACAAACTCAGGGGCCTCGGCGTGGATAGCAGCAAACCTGGAGCAGGGAGAGGGGGTGGGCAGCAGCTCTGAGCCCCCCAGCTTGGGGGCTGGCAGGGGACAGTCCCTGCTGTGACCCAGAGGCACCTCCCTGCTGACACCCGGGGTGCCCCCCAGCCCCTCAGCACTCACTGTTTGGTCGTGATGGGGCCCCTCTCGTCGATGGGCTCCCCAATGACATTCATGATCCTGCCCAGGGTCTCGGGGCCCACGGGGATGCGGATGGGAGCGCCGGAGTCCAGCACCTTCTGTCCCCTCACCAGCCCTTCCGTGCCGTCCATGGCGATGGTGCGCACCGTGTTCTCCCCTGCGGGGCCCAAGGACAGCACGGTCACCTCAGGCTGGCCCTGGGGACAGCTGCTGCTGCCTCCCCAGGCCCTGCCAAGGGGACATTCAGCTGGGAGAAGGACCAAGAGGAGCAGCAGGGATAAAATAGCCCTGAGGAAAACTGAGCCGTGCAGCCGCAGCCCTCGGGCAGCCATTTTCCTTCCCCTCCTCCTCAGATTGAAATCCGTGGCTTCAGCAAGCTCAGGAGAACGAAAGTCACTGCCAACATCATCACAGGAGGACCCCTCCCCGCGCCAGCTGCTCACCCAGGTGCTGAGCCACCTCCAACACCAGCCGCGTCTCCCTGCCCTGCACCTCCAGGGCGTTCAGGATGGGGGGCAGCCCCTCGTCGAACTGCACATCCACCACGGCCCCGATGACGGCCACGATGCGGCCGGTGGAGGAGCCGGCCTTGGCGGCAGGGGCTGCCTGGGCCGCATAGTCCCGTCCTGGGGGGGAGAGGGACGAGTCAAGGTCGGCCGGGACGGGGCAGCTCCGGGCTCCGGGAGGGCTCTGGGGGTGCGGAGATGGGGCTCCCCTGCAGGACTTGGGGTGTGCCCGGGACCCCTGAACCTCGCTGGGCGCACCCAGGACCCCCTGAATCCCCTTCCTCAGCGCACCCAGGATACCCTGAACCCCCCTGGGTGCACCCAGGACCCCCTGAACCCCCTTCCTCAGCGCACCCAGGATCCCCACACCCCGCTCCGGGCACCCTCGATGCTCCGCACCCCGCTCTGGGCACACCCGCACCCCCTCAGCCCCTGAGCCCCCTCCCCTCAGCGCTGCCAGGACCCCCCGAGCCCCCTCCCCCCAGGGTCGGTCAAGTCGTC